AATCTGATCTTGTCCTGCAACTACTCAGTGAGACCAAGATCTTGGCCAGGTTTGTGTGAACAGCTTTTGCTGGTTTGATCTGCTGTGTGTATAGAAACTAGATTAATTTAATAAGTAACTACAATTCCTGCGGAAGGCTCCTTTTCTACTGAATATAGTTACAAAATTTTCAGACTCTGATGACAAAGAATGGCCTAATAGACAATGTCCTGCAACTACTCAGTGAGACCAAGATCTTGGCCAGGTTTGTGTGAACAGCTTTTGCTGGTTTGATCTGCTGTGTGTATAGAAACTAGATTAATTTAATAAGCAACTACAATTCCTGCGGAAGGCTCCTTTTCTACTGAATATAGTTACAAAATTTTCATAGACTCTGATGACAAAGAATGGCCCAATAGACAAAATTCTCATCTCTAAAGGTTAATGACACCTTTGAAATGAATGATTTTTGACAGATTGAGATCCAAGGGTCAGATCCTATCAGTAGAAAATCTACTGCAGAGTATCATTAGACTGAAAAACAGCCTTAGAGCAAGCTATCTCAAGTTATGGATGCTAAATTAAACCTCATTTAAAGATACCTGGAATCATCATCTTGAGATGCTGACTCCTACAGCTGCATAAAGGAAAAACTCTGCAAAAAGCATTGGTGTCTACTAAAAGTTAGAAATGCATTTAATGACAGGCATGTCCTATAAATGACAGCAGCTTGTACAGATATGCCTGAGGAAGCCTTAAACTAATGTGGACACTGCTAGCACAGTAATCATAACATGATATTTACTATGGCTCTGTATTAGCTCCAGTTCTCGGATGGTTTTGCTAATTTGTACTAAACTCTACTGCTATAACCATCAACTGGCAATTCTCAAGAAACATCTTGTGTGCATTAAGCTATTTTTGGTTCTCAGATATAAGATTGCATTATGTGTGCATCATAAGGATAAATTTACACTGCAATAGAAAACATCAGCCATTCAAATCCTTGATGCCTACAGTTAAATTTGTCTTCAGCAGTACTTACTCACTTGTTGGCAGTGACTCATCCTCCCAATAGGTTATGTTTCTGCACTTTGAAAACCCATTAGGTTCCTAAACAACCCCACTCCACACCCCACTCCCCCAATGCAGCTTACTTACACTTCTATGTTACAGGTACAACTGAAAGTTCAGTTTTGAAAATACTGGCCCCTACCTTTTGCATTTGGCACTTACTATATTAAATATAGACTGTGTTTATTTTCACCTTTAAAAAGAAATCAAAGCAGCACAGAAACTGTATTTTTCATGACAATTTTTTGAGATAGAAGATGGAAACTCCCAAGATGAAAACTAAAACTTTGTTAGTGCTGTAAGGTTGACAGTTAAACAGCTGTTAGATAAGACAGCACAATAACACTATTACAAGTCTTAAAGCCCAAAATCTTTTTCTAGGGGACAGTCACAACAATCAAGATAGTAGGGAACAGTGGAGTGAATTCACAGCTGACAAATCCCACTTCTCTAATTAATCTGATATTACCTTGCAGGCATACTACACAAGATTATAGTTCTTGCTCCCAGGGTAGGAAATATTCTCTCTCCTTTTTGCTACTACAAACTTTAAACCCAAACATTTTTCATCTCCTTACTTAACGGTCAAATTTTCAGCAATAACTCTTCTGCACTGAAGAGTTTCAACACTACTTGCTGCTTCAACTAGTGTCAAAATAACAGAGCTATATAGCAATAAGTGAATTCGATGTTTTCCTGAACATAGCAGGGATTGGAGTAGGAATACTCTGACTGCCTTTTCCAAAAGGCCGATCAAAAGGAAAAAACAGAATGCCAGAACTCAAGGACTCACATACTTAAACAAGTGTTCTCTGGGTTCATTTCATACACAAATTTAGAGTGTGCCTGTGAATGCAGAATGCAGCAGAAATTGCTGAAAAGCCTTTAAGATTCAAAGCAATGTAGCTCCCACACACACCAAGCAGAACCCTCTAGTCCCTAAACAGAAGTTTGGCAAAGAGGGGAAAGAAGAGGTTAATTTTTTGTAGTGTTTCAGTGAAACCTTTCCTCTCATGAGACCAGACCAAATCAGTATCTTTTTTGCCTCTCTGATGACCACAAGGCTTGAGCTTCATTAGGAACTGTTTACCCAAAAGTAATTATCAAAACTGTTCTTTACAGTTGTCATTAGTAGTAGAGTACTCACATTGTATTTATAGCAGAATCTACCTCTAAGTTTTCTTGTGTAAACACGCCTGCAGGCTTCTGCTAGAGGCTGGAGCAGATGCTTGATAAGTATCCAATGGGTTTTTTATCATCAGTAAACTTAACTGGAATTTAAATGTCTAAGCCATTTTGATACAACACAACAATAAAAATACACTTCAATTTTTAATAATTCTCAATCTCTTAAGTGGCTAAGAGGATTTTATTCCAAATACTAGGACTGGACTGCAAGTAGAAACAAAAACATTAATAATTTGGTCTAAATAAACACCCAGAAATATGAAAAAAGTCATGAATAGCAGAAAGGTCTAACTAGCTCAAAGAAGGTAAAGTTTTAACTTCAGATTGCTGAAATTTTCTAAGGTTCAAATGCTTCAGAATCTTCTATATTGCTGATAAATGCAGAACAAATAATTCTGTTCATCAAAATGAAGTCTGATTTTAGAAGGAAACTGAGTTAGTTACAGAAAAACTCACAAGAATGAGATTCAAAGCCATTAAAACTTGCAATTCTAGGCACGGGGGAGAAAATTCACAATCTTTTAACATAAGTTTTGGCCCTCTGAGAAGTGTTCTGGTGATCCCCCCTCCCCTGCTTCACATGCAAAAAATCCTGCGTAGAACACAAGATTCATGATGGAATGCAAACCAAATGTTCTCACAGAGGTTTTGGGGGGGATTTTTTTTTGAGGGGGAGGGTGGGGGGTTTTTTTGGTTTTGTGGTTGTTTTTTTTTTCCTGTTCCACTGAAAATTTTGCAGATTGCTCAGATCTGAAACAGGTATGGCCACTCTTGGTAAAAATTCCAATTATTCCTGATTTCATTTGAAGTATGTTTTCCAAAACTAGCAGTGCAAGGGAAAGACAGAGTCAGAACAGGAATATTCAAATTATGTAAAATGACTGCACAATCTGGTGATTAGTCACGCTCATACAAAAAACTTCATCCACTAAGTACACATAAATTCTCTGCAGCATTTGCAGATAACAGTAGCCAAATTCTTAGAACATTATTTTATCCCTTGAGGTCAGCTGCTGTCAAAAGTCACATCTTTTTACACTTTCTTTTTTTGCCCAACACTTCATTATTCTGTTATTAATAGTTGTTTACACAAGTGATGTTTTAGGGGTTTTTTGGTGGTTGTTTGGTTTTTTTTTTTTAGAGTACAGTGATATCAAAACCCATGGTTTCTACTATAGGAAGTCATAGCATTTTTCTTGCTTCAGTCTCAAATCAACATGTTTTCTTCCACATAAACCATGCTTAAGAATGATGTTTGAGATTGCCTCTACAGTTCACAATATCAGAGACCACACTACTATGTAAACCTCTTAATAAATGTCAAGTGAGCTAACAGTTTTAGCTACAGCCAGGAACCATCAATCTTAATATTACAATCTTTGGAGACTGCAATTATACAGTTATGGTAGGTAAGCATTTTTATAATGTCATAATATTAGTAAATATTCATTTGGGAGTACATCACTAATCAACAGGAGCGATGCAACATTATGTGAACATCTGTCAACATTGTCTAGGAAAGACATTCTTCATCAGAAAAATATTTTTAAGGATTTTTAGCATACAAACGCTTTTTCAGAGAAACTTGCCATTTCTTCTCTGGAAAAGAAGAAATTTCACACATGGAGGAGGAGTTTGAATGGTTTCTGATCATAGACTAACTGCTGTTGATAACATTTTGGTACTAATAGGTTCACCAGAAAAGGAAAAATCAACAACAGGAACAAGACACATCTCCCCAGCATCAGGCAGTAGATCTAAATAAGACAAAAAGCAATCTAAAAAAAGGGAAGCTTTTTTCTTAAATACAACGCACAATTAAGTCACAGAACTCGCTACCACAGGATTCTGCAGGGGGCTAAAAACAGCAAGAGTTGTTCGATAAGGTACTTGATGTGTTGAGAATAAGCTGAGTTGTGGCTTATGTGTATCATGGTCTGGATACAATTTTCATCCTGGAAAACCTTTAAAATCAATCATAGGGAACATATACTACAGAGATATCACATACATACTGTTTATTGTGCTAACGCCCTGTGGCATCTGCTACAACTGCATTAAGACTAGACTACAAACTAGATGGACCTTTTACCAAAAAAACCCCCAACATTTCATGTCTCCCAATCCTCTGCTCCACACACTAGAATAATAGTTATTCTGAGTCAAACTTGTCTTCTACATACTGAGACTGCTGTTACATAGGTTTGGAAGATATAATCCTTCAGCTTTTAAAGAGGCTTTCATGAATATATTCTTATATTTCTATCAGAGATTTTAGAAGATGCATTTGAGAACTTTTCTCAAAGCAGAAAGTTTGAGAAGACAGTCACATGGCTTTGCAAATGCACTAAGAGCAAGAACAGCAATCAGCACATTAGGAATTGTTTTTCAAGTTACAACCCATATGCATCACTTCAGTGTGATCATGCACTCACAGTCTAGTTTTAAGAAGCACAAAAGAAAAACAGAAAAGAGATCTGATCATCCTTTCCAGCCACATTTAGTAGATTACAATTTTAAAACATTACTGCCTTTCAGTAACACAACAAAAGTCACATCAATACCAAATCCATACTTGCTGTGTAGGAAAGCGGACTGTTTCTATTTTAAAGAATACCTTGTCTAAACTCCACTTGCTATTAGCTTTCTAATCTGGACACATAGAACCTAGTAAGTAGATTATTCAGTCACACTTGTATTCGTCAATCCTCGCAGTTTCTCAGTATATGCCAGGATTTGTACTTGAACCATGAACTTACAAATGCTGAAGGCAAGAAAAGGACTCCAAGTTCGTAAGAACGGATCATCAGTTGGGTACCATTTTTCTCCAGAGCTCCCCAAGCTGCTTTAGATAGATTGGCACTGCCAAAAGAAATAAAGCATTTCAGTGAGGCATAATCTTCACAGCAGAAGTTGCTTAAGTACCACAGCTGTAGCAATGCACTTCCAGCAGGAGAACTCTTTTCATAAAGAGTGATTTGGGTGTTATTCCTTATTGCTATTTTTACAGCACAGTGGGAATAGCAGAGACAATATATGGAAGGGTGTTCATACAATACATGTGGATAATTATACAAGCCTACTTGTGCCATACAGATCTACAAGAGATTCAACCTTTTGAATCTTGTCTGTACATTTCAGAAAGGAACTTGGTATTTGTAAACAGCTTCAATCTGATGACTTAGGAAGATTAAAGGCTAGCTCAATTACTACATGTTACACTGTAATACATTTAGTACACAGCATTTTTGCAATTGTTAAACAGTATCTTTTGCTCCTGGTATTTTGTTCTTCAATATGTTTATGAAAACAAGTATTTATCGAAGAGGTCTTTTTTGGTTTTATGTGCTGTTCCTCACCATGTGGTAGTTGATCCTTCATCAGTATCTGCTATGAAGTAGATCAAGTTGAGAGTCAAAAAATAAATGCAATTCTGTTGTGAAAACCTATTTCTACAGCAAAATACAACATACTGGATGCTTTTTGATAGTAGCAAATGGTGGAATAGAAGAAACATGAGAAAAAAATAAAAGCAACCATGAATTTCTGTATTAGGTTGACTCAGCATCACATTTGAATGTCTTAAATCCTTTAAAAAGCACCTTAATCACTACTACCATTACAGGCAACAGTATCAATGAATGATGAAGTTTAAAAAGCCACAATATAAAGAGAAAAAAAGACTAAAGTAACTGAGTATTTAAGAATAAGAATACAGAGATCATGATCTATAATATATAGGGTTGCACAAAAAATCAGTTTTGGCAAAAGTGAAACATATCTGTATTTTTTATTCACAATAAGACATCCTCCCTCCTTGTCAAGAAATTTCTTGTTCCCTCTTTTGACTTCTTTAAAAAAGCAAAACAACAGAAATAGAAAGCTAGACTTCAAGCTAGACTGCTGAACAACTTAATCTGACAAAAGGTCAGATTCCAAATATTACGTATCTACATGTTTTATAACAATAAGGCAGCGCAACAATACACTGAGGCTTAACCCATATTTATTTTGCACAAACCAGCACATTCACATACAGCATGTATTAAAAGTCAACCCAAGGTTTAAGAATACTTACCACTTCAACTGATGTTGAACCCCAAAACTGGCAGTTACAGCTCAGAAAAGACTTTGGTGTGATTGCCAACAGTTCCTGACATAATCATTTCAATTTGCAGCCCCAAAAGGGGCAATGCAATGAAGAAATATTAAATATGGCAAAAATTCACTACTTATAGTATTATGAAGATTATGGCAATGATTCACCTGGGCCTGCAGTTGACAAGAACTTTATATATGACTTTTTTTTAAGTGAGAAACATATGGGTAGTTGTTTACCTTGTAACTAAGAACCATGCAATCTTCTGGAAGTCAGGAGAGGGTCTGATGTATGTCTTAATGTGAGGTATAGCATGACTTCGACCCGAGATTTCTGCTGACCATTTGCTAGAAAAACAAGAGGAATTCTGTTCATATTCAGTTTTATTTTGAGGTTTAAAACATACTCACCAAGCTACAGTGCCATGTTTTCAGTAACACTACCCTATATTTGTCACATGTAATACTTTTTTCCCCCCCTTTACAGAAAGGCTGAAAATAACTGAATTTTTAATCCTGAAATCCAATATTCTCCTCAGTGTATCAGACTCTCCTAATAAGTTTTCCCACTCCTCCACTGCGGCTAGCACTCAAGAAACTTGAGTTCAAACTTCTAGCCAATACTTCTTCTTTGAAGACTATCAATGGTTATGCGTTTAAGCAAAGGAACTTGGCACCAAATTAAACCTCACAAAATTCCCCAAGCTTATTACAATTTGTTATGCACAAAGTAGAGGCAGAGAGCAGCTGACAGACTGTTGACATCACCATTCCTCTTCCCTTTTCTGTGCCCCTAAGCCATTGAGAAATTTGAGGGCTTAAGAGAGTAGAGGTCATATCTATGTGTATATATATATAAACTAGTTTAAAACAACAAGCCATTGCTGGGGTAATTCAGCATCAATGTTACAGAACTAAACTGTAAGCAAGCAGTAAATATACATAACTGAAGGCATGTAATGATGGGATTTAGAAGCCCTTTCCACTCACAGCTGTTAGTCCTCACTCAAAATCAAGGCAGCAGCTTCCAAATACACCTTCCTCCACCCAGAGACTTTTCTTTCCTCAGTTTGGAATGTAACAGGCTCTGGCTTTGGTTGTCACAATCTTGATCCCCTAATTTAGCACTCTCTTCTAAAAGGCACATCAGAAAGAATCAATCAGCTGCAAAAAACCTCTCAAGTGAGCTGTTTTAATTTAAAAGCCTAAGAAGATTGAAGTGGAAGGGCTGGAATGAATTACTGAAGTTGACTTTCAGGACTAACTTTCACATAAGTCAAGAGGCATTGCAGCTCAGAGGTCAAGACCTAATTAACCCTATCCTCTGATGAAGGAAAGAAAACTGTTGCTGAGAATTGGTCCTGTATTCATAAAGGGCAAGAGCTGAAACACTGTATGCATGTTTGGAACAAACAAGACATCTTTGTATTTTGATGCAAGCCACACTGAAGTCTGTTTTGAAGAACAGACTAAGATATATACATTATGGAAACAGCTAAAACTTGTGTTCCTCTACAGAACTCCACACTTTATATACATATGGATTATAAGGCTATGCTGTACCATAACTCAACAATTCTTGTTAATAGCTTTTACCTCACAACTAACTAATGTTTAGGCAAACATTATCTTTAAGTTTAAGACACAAAAATAATTAGGTAACTCCAGTAACTTTGTAGAAATGAAAACCAAGAAAAATAGCAGAACTGGGAACTGAACATAGATTTGCTTTAGATCTATCTCATTGCCTTACTTGAGGACAAACTTTTCCCCCCACTATTAACTGCTATAATTTTGAGATACTATCTCAGTCTACTCCTTTTTGCTTCCTTATCATCTTTGACAAATACATTTAAGTACTGTGTTTTAGCAAAAGTACTACCAATTCTCTTCCGTTTAAATTCTACAGTAATCTAATTGCAGTAAGTTTCAATTACAAGTGATTGAAACTGGTATTCCAGAAAGTTAAAATCAGAAAGGGGAGCATACACTTTGGCCATATTTTCTTTAATAAGACAGCACAAATATGTAAGGACAAAAAGGAGAAACTGATTATGTTCTTCAATCAGTTTGTTGGGGTTTTTTTTTAGTAATTATCTCATTGAAACACTCAGATGCTTTTAGTAAAAGCATTATTAGCAAAGTATTTAAGAAATGTTTTCCCTCCAGCCTAAAAGTTAGATTATCTCCAGACAGCATAATGGAATAAACCTAAAGAACTGGAAGGGGTTTCAGATGGGTACAATCTCATTTAATCTATTCTTAATACTGCTAAATTTCAACTTCACCATGGAACTTTCCTGGCATATTTTTAGGAAAAAAAAGGCAAACCAAAGAGCCTTAAGTAAAATACAAGTGCAGTTACTTTGCAAGGATGAGAGCATATGTCAGTATAACAATTTCAGGCTATTTCTAGTCAAATTGGCTTAACACATTTTAAGCTGTAAACTCTTCATCAGAATGCAGCTGGCAGAGGATGTACATAGGACTGATCTCATGTTGCAGTACACTTCAGGCATATACAGTCTCAGAGATAAATACGGTAAATTAAATGAAACTAGCTCTAAGAAATTTTATGGAGCAAAACCACAGCTTGAAGTAATTATTTTTTTGACAGTTAGAGGTCATGGTACCATGTAAACTAAAAGCTCAAGTGTGGGGTGAGGAGAAGGAGTAATGTGAGTAGGTATTACCAGAATTGGAACAGTAAAACATGAAAGCCTTTTTGCTAGGTTTTTTACTCTTTTACACTCCTAGGACTAGAACTCCTTATCACTAGTACAGCTTAACTCTGACTTTAGATCACTAAAGCTAACATTCTTACCAGTAACTTGCTGCTACTTCTTCCCTTCTAGTCTTTTGCAGCATTTCAGTCAGCAGCTTTTCATTTTCTTTTTAATTATACAGCCTCTAATGTGATGATTATATGCGCTGAATTAAAGAGGTAATCTACTTTCCAGTTCTTAAAACACAACAGCTTTTGCCCCCTTCTACCTCTCAAATTTTCCAATAGCTATTTTTGAGTTTCACATAATTTCGGTTTGTTTTGTTTTTTTTTTTGAAAGGAGGAGGAAAAAAATGTTCTCTACCATGAATAAGGTATCTTTTGCAATATAGAAAATACTTTGCACTCACTTGCACTGCACTACAAATGCGAATACTTACCTGTTGTTGCTCTTATATGTATTTAACCACTTGCAAAATTTCAGAAGTATGGGGTGGGGTTTTTTTTACATGTTTGATAAATATTTGTTTTACTCTACAATGAATTTTTGAATGTTTGAAAAGGAGTCTACACTGCAATCACAGTGCATTTAGCTGGAAGACATAGAGCAAGAATCAACTGCCACCAGTGTCTGATATTTCTGGCACAAATGAGGTAAAGGAGCTGACACAAGAAGCTACAAGTGGAGCTACTGAGACAGGGAAGCCAGATAATCCTAACATCCTAAAAATTAATCTGTGCAGACACACTCAACCCATAAGCAGAGCCAGGAATAACTCATTTTCTACACCACCACCACCTCTTTCATAATGTAGCTGTTCTTCAAATAGTGAATAGGCTTTCCATCTCAAGATATGGCAACAAGGCTTGAGTATAGTTAGAACAACTCACACCATTTGTCTCAACCATAAGAGAACATAAGTCCTCTGTGTAAACGCTCCATCTCTCTCACCTTCTATGATGTTAGGGGAACAACACTGTAGTTCTTTGAAGAAAAATGATTATTCTTCAAAACTTTACAGGCCTAAAGAACACAAAGCTCTAATGCAACTATGATTATGGACTTGTCAACAGCAAGTCAAAGAAGCTCTCGTCAAAGCAATTTCTTCCATTCTTTGAAAATAAAAATTTGACAAGGTAACTGCATAAACATAAAGCATATGGTATTAAAAGTCAATAAATTAAAAGACATTGTACTTTAATGCTTAATGTACTGTTAATGCTGATCAACTGTTTCAAAAGCAGCAATTAACAGAAGTCATTAAGCATTGCAAATCTCTCCTAATCAATGAGTTATACTGAAAGGAAAACACAACCTTATCGGAGAGAAAACTGAGCAAACTGCATCATTTACACAGTATCTAATGTAAAAGAGCAGTCTAGTAATCATTTGCTATGATCAGAAAAGTGAAATCATCTTATTTTTTCTGAGAAATTACAATTCAGAAGTGCATTAAAGGTCAGTTAAATACAGTCAACTGGCAGAAGAGACAGAAAAGCAGCCTACAGACATTATAAAGATTGTATGCCTGGGACAGAGGTTCTACCTCTTTGGGTGAGACTACAGGACACCATTTTCCAACTCCATTAATCTCTCCCTACTTGTAAAAAGGAGCTATTCCTTCTCCTTTATGTAAGTATAAAGTATTTCTCTTCTTTCAACTCTGGTAGGATCCCTAGCTTCCTGCTGGTTTTGTATTATTTTCCAGTGAGGTAAAGAGAAATTCCTCTAATCCTTCTACTGCCCAAAGCTTTGCATTATGGCAAGCCTTTTGACATGATTTAGCCCCAGCCGGCAGCTGAGCACTGCGTACCACTGGCTCACCACTCACCCCTCCCCAGTGGGATGGGGAGGAGAATGGGAAAGACAAAGGCAAAGCCTCCTGGCATGGGGTGAGGACGGTTCACTGGGACGCAAGGGAGAGGGGAACAACAGCAACAGTACTGATAACAGAATACTCACAAAGGCTGACAACAGAAAGCAATTTACCAATCCAACCTGACACTCAGCCTGTCCTGGAGTCACACCAAACCTGCCTCTCCCTGACTAGCCCCCTTTTATGGTGAGCATGACATCACATGGTATGCAATAGCCCCTGGCCAGCTTGGCTCACCTGCCCTGGCTCCTTGTGAAAATTAACTCTGTCCTAGCCAGAACCAGGACACCTTTAAAATAGCTCATCTTATATTTAACTCTACTGAAACAGAACCTACCACTTTCTGTGTCTCTCAGGTTACCACAGATAAGAAGCTACTGTATGTCATGTTCTCTATGATAACAGCTTACATGCAGGTTATCCTCAAGGGCTAGCATCACTACAGGGTAAGAATCTGCATCTGGGCAGTCCCTACAGAGCAATTATGCAGGGCCACTTGTCATCTGCAAACAATTCAACAGATGAATTTAAAACAGCTCTTTTGGTGCCAGAGCAGGATCTTAATATGTCGAAGGAGACAGGTATATGGGTGTTTTCTCATTAAGCAGGAATAAAACAGTGAACAGTCATTATCAAAGGTTACATTTTTCTTCCAGTAAGATTCTCATGAGGTATTTGCTTACAGAAACTGAATTAAGGCTGCACAAACACCCCAGTTTTATGATCTCACTTTTTGAAGCACGACTGAACAATCTTGAAGGTGTTTGTAGCTTTCTTCCTTTGCTGAATGTGCTCAGAGGGCACACTTCAAAGGCAGGAGAGACAAAACCACATGTGCTTTCTGTTCCAGTTCCATTGCTTGGACATTGACCAGCAAGGCTCACAGCAGCAATCATGTTCACTCCAGAATGGAGGATGCTCTCTGCAACCAGCAATTGGTTTTTTTTAGCCCTTTGAATACATACACAACTTTACCCATATTTAAGTAAGAGCTTGTAAAGTATCTTACCAGCGCAACTTCCACCTGGAAGAGTTAAGAGTTTCTGGTGAAAGGAATGGGGAGCTGTGGTCTTGTAAGAGGTTACCAGATTTTTTTTTTTTTTTATCTGTACAAAACAACTTTTCCCATTGTTCTCAAAACACACTTAAATTTTTAAAGATTCAGCCTGAGGGAGACATCTGGCATGGAACGTGTTAGACTGTTAGAATCTGGCAATATTAGTAGCACGTGACAATAGAAGTTCTTAATGGAAAATGTCAGGCACCTCTAACAAAAGATGGTATTACCATAAGGGACTCAGAATTTTTGCAGCAATAGTGTTGCACTCAAACCAACAAACAAAAAAGCCTTCCTAACCATGTTGTGGCTCAGTTGAAATCCTGTTAATACCAAGGTACAAGTGGGAAAGTGAAGTACAACTGTAAAAAAACCCCCAAAAACAACAACAACAACAAAAAAAAACCAAAACAAAAAACCACACATGGAAAAAAGAGGAGTAACATTATTCCAGTTCAGAGAAGGAAAGCTTAAATAGAAGTTTACAGAATCCAAAATCTTGTACTGTCCTTCATTAGCAACAGTATCCCATATAATTTTTACAGGTGAATAGCACATTTTGACTATGTTTTAGAGATAAGACCAGCAGATAAGTAACTAAAGGCTTTTATTTTAAGGAGCTTAAGGATATCATGCTTCTCACCACTTCCCATTAATTTGCTTTTAACACTCAAACATTACAGCATTTTAAGTTTAAACATACAATCTAAGGAAAAAACCACACCCAAAGAATTGAGTTCTACTTACTGAAAATAGGAATGCAACCACAGCTGTTTCTGTGCTGTCTGTATACTGTACGGAAGTGAGCCACCAGCTTAAGGAAAAAAAATAGAACATGTACATTTATTTTCTGAAAGACATTCTAAAAGCAGCAAGCATCTTGGGGAACAGGCTATCTGTACTATCCTCATGCCTTCTTTTCAGAAAATGGTGAAATGCTCCAGTAGTATAAAATGGTATATAGGTGTGGAATTTTTTTTCATTCTTATAATTTAGCAAGTTCCTAAACACTACACAGCAGATTTAGACTAGGAAAAAGAGAAACAGTATACAGGCTATAGAATTAAGTCCTCTTAGAAAATAGATGTTTATGGGTAATTTTTAGTTATGATACCACTTGATATCAACAACACATTAGAATCACTACCCATACAAGTTAGAGGGAATAAACGAACCAACTTTCAGCAAAAAAAACCCAAACCACCGAACAACATTATTTTAAAGAGCAAGAACTTCTCTGATGAAATTGTATTTGTACTGATTTGGTCTTTGGCTAATGCATGTTGTGATTTCTTGAAATGAATTTAACAAAGAAGAATCAGCCATGGCATACTGAGTTATATTAGTGTTGTGAATTAAAAACATGATGCAAAACCTACTGCATTCAACCTGTCCTAGAAGAGACCATAAGGACCTGTTACAAAAGCTTTACTACTCTCAGGGATGCACTAACTGCAGGAGTCCATGGAGCCGTTCATTTGCACAAATAAAGAGTTATGTAATTCACCAAGTTATTTCACAATAAGAAAGAAAGAACAGTAAGAAGTCATTGCACAGATTGTATTTCTGACTTTCAAGAGTACTAACTTTGCTAACAGATGCTGTAGACAACCAGATGTATTTCAAAAGACTAACTTGTTGGAACAGTAGATACCTATAAAACTCACTAGCTGCAGTTTCTACATGTGTACAAACACTGCTCTATTCAGAGTCCTGCTAGCCCTGTGTTCAAATTCCACCAACTGTTAGAAGAGCTCAAGAGCTACTCCGTAATACATAAGAGCATAGGTATCTGGCTTAGAACAGGAAAACGTTTATGGATTCATCAATGCCAAAGAATCACCGAATCATTCAAGTTGGAAGCACCCTCTGGAGATCATCTAGAATAACTCCCTGCTCAAAGCAGGGTCGAACAGAGCCCGTTGCTCAGTACAGTGTCCTGTCAGGTTTTGAGTATCCCCAAGAATGGAGACTCTACAACTTCTGAGCAACCTGTTCCACTTAAACATCCAAAAATGTTTTTGCTGTAAGGGCACACTGGGCATCTGCTGTATCTCAATTTAAGTCCATTGCCTCTTGTTCTTTCAGTGGTCATCATGTGAAGAATCTGCCCCTACTTTGCATCTTCCTATCAGGTATTTATACACATTGATGATACCTCCCAGGAAAGTTCTCTTCTCCAGGTCAAAAAATTATCCATCTCTCTCGGCCTCTCCTTGTATGACAGATGCTGCAATCCCTTAATCATCTTTGTGGCCTTTTGCTGGAATTGGTTCAGTATGTCCACATCTGTCTTCTACTAGGAAGCCAACAACTGGACACAGCACTCCAGGTGTGGTCTCACCAGTGCTAAATAGAGAAGACAGGTCACCTCTCTCAGCCTGCTAGCAACGTGCTTCCTAATGCAGCCCAGGATGCTGCTGGCCTTCTTGCCATAAGGGTACCTTGCTGGCTCATCTTCAACTTAGTGACCACCAGCAGTCCCAGGTCTTTTTGTGCAAAGCTGCTTTTCCCAGGTCAGCCCCCCATGCCTGGGGTTATTCTTGCCCCAGCACAGTATTTTGCATTGCCCTCTATTGAGCTGCATAAGGTTCCTGTCAGCCCATTTCTCCAACCTGCGCAGTCCTTCTGAATGGCAGCACAATCATCTGATACATCAACCATGTCCCCTGAGTTTGTATCATTTGCAAACTCACCGAGGGTGTACTCTGCCCCACCATCCAGGTCATTAATGAAGGTATTAAATGCATGGCCCCAGTATCAATGCTTGGCACACACCACCACTGGCGGCTAACCTCCAGCTGGCCTTTGTGCCATTGGATCACAACCATTGAGGTCTGGCAGTTGCGCTGGTTTCCAATCTGCCTCACTGTCTAGTCATCCAGCCTGTACTTCATCAGGCTATCTGTAATGATGTTTTAGGAGACAGTGTCAAAAGCCTTATTAAAGTTAAGATAAACAACATCCAGTGCACTGCTCTCATTCATCAAGCCAGTCATCTAGTCATAGGCCATCAGGTTAATTAAGCGTAATTTCTCCTTTATAAGTCCACGCTGACTACTCCCAATCACCTTCTTGTCCATCATATGTTTGGAAATGGTTTCCAAGATTCTTTGTTCCATCACCTTCCCAGGGATAACAGGCCTATAGTTCCCGAGATCCTCCTTTTTACCCTTCCTGAAGACAAGAAAGAATTCCGTTCTCACAGTTCTCATGAACCCCTTGCAACTGCCTTGACCTTTCAAAGGCTAACAGCAGCCTTGCATTATAAGCCAGCTCCTTTAGCATGCATGGGTGTAACTCACATAAGTACTTGCTTTTGCAAAACAGAAGCTTCACTGCATCAGAATACCACAGTACCTCTTCCTCTTTCAGGTTGGCTGGGACTATGCTTTCTATACAAATATTCTGACTGCATGAACACAAACACAGCTGAACAGAACACAACCGCATATTGCGGTATTAAAAATTGATTAATAAGTAGTGAAACATCTTATTCTCCATTGTATCTGATGTGCAGTATGACACTTGAAAGAAAGCACAAGGAGAACCTAGCACACCCAAATCTGCATTTTCTGCCAAAATGAAAGTATGACTGGAGTTAGAACAACGGCCAAGAGCTGTTTCTTCCTATATAGTGACATATAAATGTGACTATACAGACTTAAACGTTATATACAAATGCCCACAAAGCTTTTTCTATTCAATTACAAGAGCTGGAGTCAAAACTCCAGTAACAGTAATTAAAGGATTCTACTGCCACCTATTCTACCAAGTTCTCAGCAAGATGACAGCTTCAGGTTCATTCAACATCAACCACTGAAGTGATTTTGCAGGACATTATGACCACAAAAAGCTAATAAATCTGGGTTCATCTGCTTACCGGGATAGCCTTCTAGACTTTGCCTCACATTGTTCACAGTAGGATAAACCTGCATGGAGCAGGGGGAGGGGAAAGAAAAAGGTAACTTTAATAACGTGGCTCTAAATACACAAGCTGTCAGCATAAAACTAGTCATGTGCCAGTAACAAAGATGTTTTTACCTCTTGCAGAGCTTACCAAAATTAGGTAGCAAGACTTAAACCTGCTTCAACCACTTCCACAGTGGTCAAAGTAAGCTCTTAACATTATTTGATGAGATTTTAGACTCTTATCTCATAAATGACTCTGCAGGGGCAATCAGCACACAGTAAGGGCATAGTTTGACAACTTCTCATCCTTGATTTAACAATCTCATGCCACAAACTTGTTTCTGCTCTTCCCCTTAATTGTGCTAATAAACTGACCAAAACATCCAGGTTAGAAAATAATTTTAGGTATTAATCAATCAGCATTCAGTTACATCTCAGTAGCAAAACCAGCGGCATCTACAAAACTCAATGGAAGGCAAGCTATATAATGAGAATATAATTTTGATTATATATACTCCAGTGTCAAGCAGATGGAAATTATAGTACATTTTTATAGTATACCATACACAAGTAAGTATCACTAAAGTGGCATCCTTATGATTTCAGGATGAAAACTACATTAATGTCTTCCAAAAGTTAAAAGCAAACCAATAACTAAGATTTAAACAACAAATGAGTAAGTGTTAAATAAAAGATCACTAGCATCTAAAAGACATACCAAATGAATTGGAACATCACTTTTAAGGAGATTTTTGATACTGCTGCCTGCAGCCACCAGGCTCTCCTGGAACTCTGAGCACAGCCATTTGGACCCATCAGCTCCCATTGAACCAATGCTTGAGAACTGTCCAACAACAGGCCAGGATTCCTGTGCTGGTATTGACGAAGCATGTTCTTTCAAAAGCTAGTGAGGGAAATTAAAACATTGTTAAACTTCAACAGGCAAAGAAAACCTTAATTAGGGGTTTGATATCACATCTGATATAACAAATTCTCTATAATTCACTTCTGACAACAAAAGAGATTAATGTTCACACTACCTATTTAACTTTGCAGTAACAAAAAGCCATCAGGCTCTCCAAAACAAACAACCACTGTTCCTTCAAGAGAAGATCAAACATCACAAGTTTTATCCAAAAGCACTGAAGCCAACCATTAAATAATGGTTAAAAAGAATGCTAGCAGCTCTTCCTAAAATCATGAAACAGCTTCAGAAGTCACAATAAATTAAACAACTAAATCTTTTTATATTTGGTGGTTGTTAGCCATAAAATTCCTCACATATCCTAAAGCCCCAGCTACAATAGAAGCCCGGAATAAGAGGGGAAAAAAAGAACAATTGAAGAGAAAATGGAAATAATCCTTTTAGAGGAGTTCTTTAGCTGTGAATGGAATTTAAAGTCACATTAAAAACAGATGGATATAGGCACATATTACATTGTACGTAGTGGCTACCTTTTCCCCCTCTCTAGAGAGGGCACATAACTAAATGTCTTCAGTCATCAGTGTAGTGTCACCAGGTCTATCTGCACTGTCACTAAAAAACTTACATCTTTTTAATCACATGAGCATTTGCCACGAGACCATCTTTATCCTTTACAGGCTTTTTCTGTTTTATTTTGTTTTCATTCAGTGTCTCACTAGGCAAAAAAACCATGCAGACAACATACATCAGAAGGGGCAAGCTCTTTACGAGCAAATGGAGGTCTAAAAGAGTAACCTTGTGCTGAAAAGAAAGGTGATAAATAGACATTTTGTATGTCACTGAAGTTTGCCACGGACAGCATTAGAATTCCAAGAAAAATTCACGATGGAATTTGAAATAATGCTCAGGAGATGCAGGTTGAAAATTATGAGAAGCATTTAACAGATGACATGAAATATTTTATCAGATTCTTAATAAATACTGAAAAAGAAGAGGACTCAAGATATGCAGTCTTGTATCACAATTTACCATTATGGCTTATCTAAATAATGGAGGAGGGTAAATAATATGTGTGTGTGTGGGGGGGGTGTATGTAAAAAAAAATCCACACTGCTTATTATTCAGTTGGTTAAAAAAATAATTAAAAAAAATAAAGATCTTAAATGTAGTAGAACAAAACTACAAACCTGACTGAATCGATGACATCAACTATGTGCAAATTCAGATCATTACGGAAAAAGAAATGTTAGAGGCTATTACAGTTTAACTAAAGATAGGCCTGTTCTCTCTGTGCAGGCAAGTCTGTATCAACACTTATTTCCTCAGTGAGTACCTTTGAAAAAGGCTATATTTGGTTCCCAGTCACAGAAGACTGGATTTGGATAGTGTCACACTCGTTAGAAACATCAACAGCAGACAGGAAGTCATTTGAGTGATGGCGACTCCTCAGATATCTGTAAGAACATGACAATTCAGACCACAAGCTGACCATGGTAATAAGAGCCAGGAATATTGTGTGTAAAGTCTACACTGTCATAAGTTGCAAGCTTATGTTATTGCTAAGTTAAACTGTAACAAAGTATTAAACAATTGCTAATCATAGCTGGAAAATTTGAAAGGAACTAAAAGAATACTCTCCAAAGTTATATTTACAGTTAAGAGGATATTAATAAAAAAGACTACAGTTTTAGTACCTTTCTGAGCCTAAGATGACCCCACTTTTCTTTATCACTACCTTGATACCGTCCAGGGGTAGAACCAAGCAGATACACTCTACAGGAAGAAAATAACACCAAGTTATTTGCAGTACTGGAGTGTGATGGTTTGGAAAGTATTAAGGTACTTAAGTAAAACCTATCAGCAAGGCTGCACATAGAAGCGCAACCAGAAATATTTAATCTTTCACACTTAAGACTTACAATATAAAGAAAAGTGGATTTTCAGCTGTATAATTTATTATTAGCATCCTATATGGCTGTCATGCAACGCTAGGCTGTTCCATAGCCTAGACACGAACGGTATATATTTCTGTGTACAAGAATGCAGAAGATAGATGATGTTAGCAATACATGAAAATAGCTCTTGTTCTGCACAGAATTGTACATGTAATTTCGAGTAAAGCCAATCTGTTGCTACATCCAAATCAGCAGATTCAGGTACGAGATTTCATTTGGGCACCTAATAGCTCAGACATACAGCTTTTTCAACTGTCTTCCTAATAATGCTTTAGTAACCTGTTTGACTTTGCCCTGAAAACAGAGAAGAGGCCAGCCCAGAGTCACAACAAGCAGACGGTTTAAGAAGCTGTTCCTTACTGCATCTCATACCTAGCTTTATCCATGAATGAACATCCCCTACATATTTTATATGGCAAGGAATTGATCCTTATACTAAGAACTGACTCTTCCCTAACCCACGCATAAACTTACATCAGCTAGGGCTCAGCCAACCTGACTATAAGGTACATACTGTTTTTCCTCCTCCAATCTTGTAAGACTCCATGTAGAGGGAAAAAAGCACATTTTTATTTTATACATTAAACTAGACAAGGCTTCAGTCTCTATTTCCACCACAGTTTATGACCTTTTTCAGCTTTTCTTTTCAAGAAACTTCTGCCAGCTTATTTAACTGCTATTAAGTAGCCAACGAGATTCACGCTTTCTGAAGTAAATACCATAGAAAATGCAGGATTCATCTGTTAGAATTAAACATCCTGAATTATTTTAACTAGCATCTGCAAAGTGATACTAGAGAAGACTGTTTCAAGAAAGTATATTATCGCTTAACATAACACTGCCTACCAGACACGATCCATGCCTGCAACAGGCAAAATTTTATACATATGTATACAGATTGAACTTTGCCTTAAAAGTACAGAAGCCTATTCTTAATATAAAGCAAAGGTTATTGTAATGGGGATTTTATGATCCCCCTTACATAAGAAGCCAAATAACTCAGCTTTTTCCACTGGTAATTTTATTGGAGCAAATATTTAAGCCAGACTGACTTAAATGAAACTCTGAGTTCCTATTACTTACAGCTACCTTCCATCAAGTTACTGCTGATGCACCTTTTTCACTCTAAAATTTTTAAAACCTGGAAGTTTTTAAAACTTTTAAAAATTTTTAAAACTGGAAGTTGGTCAATTCAACATAAACTGCATAATAAAGGTTTAAAAAATTGCCTAAAGTTACACTCATGTTTGAACAATTAAGTCTGAAACAAGGTAAACTCACAAAACAAAGCCACAGTCTAATAGATCCTGAGAGAAATGTTTATTTTTTTGGAAAAAAGCATGCAAGTTACTATAGACACAAGATAACGTATACCTTGTCTCTGATAAATCATGTTCTTGAATCAGATCTATCCATTCCTTGAGTGTAGGAGAATTGTAAGCCATCAAGTAACTTATTAGGTCAGATTTAAAATTAGTTTCAGATTCACCAGCAGAACCAGTTGTTCCCTGAGGTAGCCTTGGATATAAAGGGCTTAGCCATATTCTAAAAACAAAGCCACAAAAACAAGGACACCAAACATTAACACATGGTTTTAGTGAGCAATTACAGCACATCTGAAGGTCCTAAATGAATACTAGACAGATTTATTGTGACACTAACTATAAAGTGACTTGCCCTTCCTTTAAAATTACAGAACTGTCAAGTCTTATACTCAATACCATAAAACTAATACAATTATATTTATCCATGCATATGTTTACAGCTTTCAGCACTGTTAAACAGGCCAGGCTCAGACTTAACCAGTAGTCCTTTCGTCAAGATTTTCTGTATGACTAGAACACTGCAATGCATCCTGCTAAGCTACTGGTTTGTGTAATGATATAGAAAAACACCAATTAGGGCATCTGAAAGTTCTACATAGTTTGAAGAGTAGCCTATAATGTTAATTTGCCTTTCCAGAGCTTACATCACAATAAAATATGGTGGGCACTATGCAGGGAAGACATCCAGCATTTCTCTCCAGTGACACATTATTGTAGCCATAGAAACCAAAGGTTCTGCATTATCAACTTTACAATGTGTTGATACTATCCTTTGTAATTTTGAAGCCTATAAAATAGAGAAGCCAGCGGACCGTCATATTGGTGACACTGCATATTACTGCAGTGTGCAAAAGCTAAAAAAAAAATTTTCACGTTTGACAAGTAGGGCAACTTGTTAAGCATCCCAAATAGATATTTTCATGCATTCTTGGCTTTCTGAAAAGCTAACTGTCAAAAGATAATACAGCCATCCTTAAGTAAAAGATTTAAAGGCAAAAAAATCAGTGGCTGTATTTTTGCCACTCAAAAACCCTTACAAGAGCTTGTCTCAGACAAGTGAAAAGCTTCAAAACCTTGCCATATTTAATGGCAGCAAAATGGATGTCAAGGTGACAGTAACTTCTGAAAAGCCATTTTCAATTAGTTTGATGAAGAAATCTCAGATCTCCACAGTAAGTCAGAGTATAACTAAAAAATGCTCCCATAAAAATGGCCAAGAAAACAAGAGGTTGAGGGGCCTTATACTAACACGTCACTTAGCCCTATTTTTTGTGCTCTAAACAAACCTATGTCCCAAGCTGGCTGTTAAGTTTAAAAACTTCTACCAAAAAACCCAGGAAGAAAATTCCTTCCAAGAAAAGGATACTAGGTGGATACTGGGTTATCTACGATATTAGGGAACCAATGGTGCCCAGCATTTACCAGGTTACGTTCTAGACACAGTCACAGCAGAAACAGAACATGTGCACATTCACATTATTCTTGCAGATACGATAATTTTTAAATAGCTGCTTCAGATCTGTATAAAGAGCGCTTTATAGCTAGGTAGTTTTTTATAAAGAGACAGCATGGCATCTCAGTCAGGCTGAGTTTAAGGTTACAGCCAGCTCAGGACATAATTTTGTTTACAGTAGAAAGCAAGTAGAGTTCACAGACAGCTACCACCATTCCAGGTTTGATCTTTTGCCGCCCACCCCCCCTAGGATAGAGCTATCGTAGGCATGTAAGACTTGTAGCACTGGATCATCTGACCTATTATCCTGTCTCCAGCAGTAGCAGATATCTATGGAAAATATTAAAGTAAACATATACCTGCTAGAGATTGTTGCTTACCCCTGAGTTTTTTGGTGCCAATCTTCAGCAATAAGATTGGATGTATGTATCACAACTCGAAGACCTTCTTCATATAACAATATCATCATTTTCCTTTAAAAAGATTATAACACTTTGTCTGTTTCAAGTACACTGAGAGTAGGAGATAAATTAACAATTTATTAAAGTGCCCCAAGTGCTCCAAAGATTTGCTCTGCATAGTGCAAACACTTTGACTTCAATCCATGCACGTGCCAAACTCACATGGCAGTCATTAGATTATCCCCATCTATTTTGTCAGCAGCAGCATATGATATATTCCAAAATACATCTTAACATCTCATGCAACTGATTTCCCAAAGCAAAAATGAATACTTGCAGAATACTCTCTATATTTGCCATGTTCTTCAGAAATTTATTCCTTTGCAGATAGTTTAAAAAAAACATTAAGGAACACTAAAAAGCCTTTGCTTATAGCTGAATTTATTAAAACCTAGTTATTTTCTCAAACTGACAACTTTTAAAATAAAAAAGGTATGTAGGTAACTAGCCATTGGGATAGCAAAAAAAAAAAAGCTATTTGTCTACCAGGACAAAGAAGTTTTAAAACTAGTAACTGAGTTCAAAATAAATGTCTGTATTTTTTGAGACATAAGTGCTCAAATTTTCATATGCAAGTTTTCAGTAGATGTGTAAAGACAGCATATCAATGTGGCCCTGAAGGATGAGATGGTTTCCATAGACACCAATGCTCAAGAATGAAGGCTGTAAGAAAAACCACACTTATTTTCATTGCTGTCCCATGGCAAGATAATGCTACACAAATCATATCAGGCTCAAGTTTAAACAATGATTTATTCAGTAATTTCTGCTTTTAATGTCATAGTTCAGCAAACTAACATAGTTACACCTATAGTTTACACAATATATAAGACTCTCTAACTACAAAATTGTTCCCCACATCTGTGTCATGGCTTGATCTAAGCACAAATTCAGCTGACAGGAAAAAAAAGCATTTAACAGCAAAATGTAACTAACATGTAATTTAAGTTTTATATCATACAACAGCAAGGATGTGAATTTAAATCTTTGTATTTGATGGGGTGAAATCTGTTAAGTTTCTCTTGAAACAATTTTGTTTTGTTACCCACCAAGATCCAGTTTATTGGTCTGCTACCCACTTGCATTCCATCTGCAGTGGAACATGCATTCAGATATACACTACCCAGAACAACCCTTTCAAATACAGGGTTAAAGAACTGTAGTATTTAACATCACTATCACTTTATTTATCCCAAAGTGTAGTGGAAGGAAAAAAAAAATTAAAGTTGAGCATACAGAGAATGACAGCTGCTGCTTAAACTGCTTAAGTGAAAATAAGCTATAGCTTTAAAATTACCAATTTGAAAACCAACTTCAATTCCTTCTATGTCCCTCACTAAACCTGAGAGAGAAGCAAGACTCTTTCTTAAAATGCTGGTTTCTTTCCTTTATTTGCATATTCTTCTCCAAACAGGCAATGAGGAGATCAGTATGCTTGCTACCAGAAACACAGATGGAACTTAAGTGAGCATTTCAGACCAAGGTTTTAACATAATGTCATGTTTTATAAAATGACTTATATGAAAGAATTGATTAAAAAAATACTGCAGTGCCCTGAAACCAAAGATCTTTAGTAAGAGACATAAGATTAAATCTGTTCTTATCTGTAGCTTGCAACCTACAAAATTACTTTGAGACACTTCTACAAAATCAAATTAAAGTTTTTTCTTTGAAAAGATCCAAAAACTCAGTAATTATTTTCAGATCGTCCATGTTAACTGCAAAAACTGAGCAGTAAAGTAGCGCTGTCTCTGACCTGCCAATGACTGATCAAGTCTGCATTACAGTTTTGGTATTAAGCCAGGACTTGCAGTTCACTAACTTCAACTGTCTCACTTGCACATCTCCTATCTACCTAATAGATGACTTGTTTCCTTAAACTAGAACAATCCTATCATCTATAAATACAAAATCATTAAGGAACTTTTTCTTCAGGACTACACAATTTCTCTGAAACCCACTTTTATGGCTTTAAAATAACTGGCAGATAAATGTAACAAATATTTATAGAACATGAAAGATACTACTTTTAAATTTCATTAATATATATTAGGCCTTCAGAATTATGTTTTCACAAACAGTAGTAATCTGTCTTTCCATCCCATAAATACTTTAAGATATTAGACACTAGTTACTAGTCCAGTTATGGTAACTGCATGAACCAAGTCTGTGGTCATCTTTAGAAGTGGAGCTTTCTGCTTCATAGCTGTTACTTACGTATGGTGAGTTCCAAATGCAATATCCAGTTTAGCCTATAAAATTAAAAAGTTGATCATTAAAAATTCCTATTGTGCATTCCTACATGCAAAAATGTTCAAGGAGGAGAGGTGCTTCTTCATTTTGTTTCATTTCACCGCTCTCTAGTGGTCAGATCACAAAATACATGATTTTTCCCCTCAACACCTTTAAATCTAATAATTTCTAGAATTTAGACTTTAAATGGCAATGCAACTCTTTGCTGGAACTGCTCCAGCAGTATTTCTGGTCTCTTACCAGTCAGCCTTGCAGAAAAAGACCTGAGGGTCCTACTGGACACAAAGTTGAACAGGAGCCAGCAATGTGTCCTTGCAAAGATGACTAAGTGTCCTGGGCTGCATTAGGAGAAGTGGTGCCAGCAGGTTGAGGGAGGTGATCCTTCTCCAGTCAGCACCGGTGAGGCCACACCTGCAGCACTGGGTCCATTTCTGGGCTCCCCCATATAGGACAGATACAGACATACTGGAAAGAGTCCAATGAACAGCCACTAAGATGATTAAGGGACTGGAGCATCTCTCCTGTGAGGAAGGGCTGACAGCTGGGACTATTCAGCCTGGAGAAGAGGAGGCTCAGAGGGGATCTGATCACTGTTTACAAATACCTGAAGGGAGGGTGCAAAGGCAAGGAAGCCAGGCTCTTTTCAGCGGTGCCGAGTGACAGGACCAGAGCCAATGGGCACAAACTGAAACACAGAATGTTCCCTCTCAACATCAGGAAACACTTTTTTACTTGAGGGTTACTGAGCACTGGCATGGGTTGACCCAAATAGTTATGGAATCTCCATCCTTGTAGATATTCAAAACTTATCTGGACATTGTGCCAACCAACCAGCTCTAAGTGATCCTGCTTGAACAGGGGAGTTGGACCACATGGCCTTCAGAGGTCCCTTCCAACCTCAACCATTCTGTGATTCTGAAGTGTATAATGACTGTTACAAGCAGCTTAATGGCTAATATTGCAAAGAAAAGGACAAAAGCCAGACAGAAATGCTTTTTTATCAGTGCTCTGCTCTTATTAAAGAGTATTTACAAAACAATTTCTAGGGAGAGACTGAAACATGACTTATAGATGTTAAGCCAGTGATGGCTCCAACATTGTGCCTAGTTAATATAGGTGTGGAGGAGAAAAATAAAATATTTACATTTCATTTTGGGGTACTAAAATAATGGCATGCATACAGATTACCAGAAGAATCTGAAGTGTATACCCAAATAGGAAAATCAAATTCCATTTTCCCCTGCTAGTTACTACACTGACAAGTTTATCATATGGGAATATTACATTCAAATTCTTGTTGCCTGTGAAAAGGAAACATCTGCAAAAATATGAATTTATTGTTAGCATACTTGAAATATTAATGTGAAATTGTTGCTACTTCACAACTTGGTGCAAACACCTGATAGCATAGTACACAGCAGCCCTGAAATCCTGGCTTTAAGAACTCACTATATTTATCATCAATACAGCAATCTCTAGGAAGATCAGGGTTCCGAGACTGCCTGAGAAGGAAGAAAATTCCACAATCCTCCTCCTTCTAACAAAGGGTAACATATCCCCACGATCAATAACATACTCTACCCAGCAAAATTCTGAAACACTGGCAAGTTGCCATAACCACATCCCTCCCCCAGGCTGAAGCCAATAACTTTATGACTTAGGGCCACCAAAAGAGTGAGTATAACATGAGAGAAAATAGCATGTGCCAGGAAGTGTGCTCATAACAATTTTAACAGAGAATAGTCATAACAGCATTTTCTTGTGTAAAACATATTTGGACAAATAATAATTCTTTGATGAGACTTAAGATTACAGTGATACTAGGATTGAGTTCTGCACTTTACACAAAAAGTGCTTTTCAACCATTACAAGAATTTGAGTGCAACATGTTAGCAGAGAAGGTGTGTAGCTCTTCTGTGAGCCCCATGACATTTTCGTGGGCAGCCATTCTGTGCAAACCTTTTGTGGGTGACAGTACCACAATCACAGAAGGCCAGGAACGTAGTTACCATGTTCCTATGGTCCTGGTAAGTATATTCCTTAAAGTATAACAATAAATTCTTGACCTCCTATATAAGGTGTGTGTCTCTTTGCCCATAAAATTTTTGAGCGCAACAGATGGCTTTATTTCAACTAAAGGATGATCCAAATGTTAATTACCTGACAAAAGCTAATGTTCTCATAAGGGCGTGCTTGTGCAAGCAGTTCAGCTTTGGATTCTCTCTTTTCACCATGAACTATCAACAATGGCTTCTTCCTTAAATAAAAGGAGATTACTATTAAAACATCAAGTGAATTAGTAATCAGTCTAAACCACTCCTTCATGTAGGTATGACTTCTGGCCCCTAAATCCAACAGGCAGATAGCATTAAAATCTATATGCCTTATTAACTAACTGAAAAAAACAGTAAGTACAATAAAACCTCTAATAGAAAGACACTAGAAAACTTCAATTAAAAGAAAAAGGAAATAGGAAGCATGGAGTAAAATCAGACAGCAAAATAGAAATCAGTAATACACGATCTTGTAAGGACTCTTGTCTGTACAGCTGGAAACAAATAAAAAGCTCTCAAAAGTACTGACATACACAATGTGGATCTAAGACAATTTATCACGGAGAAGATAGGAAGAATGAGGGAAAAGGAGAGGGCTAGGTCTACTCTGGCAGTAGTTTCATGTTTACTTCCTTATCTTCTATTCTACTGCATTTCCAGTAAAACGTAACAAAAAGAGAGATAGAAAACCGTATGTCATACACTCACTTCATCTGCAGTAGGTTGCAATTATCAGAACTGAATTTCAAGCAAACATAAGAACTGCTTTCATGAAAATATCCAGCAACTCCAACCATATCATATCCAAGACCTATCATCCTGATCATTTTCACATAGTTTTCTTGTGCCCTTCCTACATTTTCTCTTTGCTCTTGGGTCTGTAAAATTGTATGGCAAAAAGCTGCTTGCTCCATCTTTATAGGTCATCTACTGCATTGTCATCATGGCCCACAATGGGACCTCCCAAGTGTTTATTAATAAAAATCAGAAACCAGACATACTGAACTCTGACCATTTGACAGTCTTGAAAAGAGCAAAAAGACATCAATAGAGAACTACAACTGGAATAACCATACAAAGAAAAACAGGAGTCTACACATACACCATTGGTAACAATAACTTCAAACTGCAAACAAGTGTTTATCATTCAGTTATAACGACAACTTGCATGAACACAATGATTTGGAAACTATCATTTCATCTTCATAAAATAAACATACCTGAATTCCTGTGGATACTGTCTTACAAGCCATCCCACATCTATACAGTAGTTAAACTTGTACATAGGAAAAAGAAAATAGACTCATTAAAAAGAAAAAGGAGTTTGTCAGAACAATGAACTACAAAAAAGCTTGCTACATAAAGTCATCACTCAATACCTCTTACATCACACAGAGCATGGTTTTAAAACAGGTGTATTTGAATTTGCTTTCCTTCATGTCTTTTAATTCAAGAATGGATTTAAGTTATTCAAAAGCACGTACTAGTGTTTATAAAATTTAATGTGCAGAAAAAAAGAATCACACACATAACATAAAAACTGTGGTTCAAGAACCATCTCTGTCATGTGCTTATACCATGAATGATAGCAAAAGCTTCTATGCAATAACGAAAATATCATTCCTAGATTGCAAGGCTTTTTTCTTTCAAAAAAAACATTGACATGCACATAAATTGCATTTTTCAGTTGCACGTTCCCCAAAACCAGGGGAGAGAAAACAGCCTTATAACTGCCTGAATTCTAAGCAGAACATAGGACAATTTTTATATTTCAATAAATGTTTTCAACTGTACAACAATTTAGAATTCCCTCTGTATTTTAACAGAGTTCCCTGCTAAAATCAGCTATATGATACAAGCATGGATTATCAAGTTTAAGGTTAATAAAATGACATAAGCAAGTGACATCAATCTGGCAAACAGGAAACTCACCTGGGCAGAAGATATGAGAGTCCCAAAAAGAGGAGACAAAATATCTATTAAAAACATTAAAGCACAATTGGGTAAAAAAAGGTTCATATAAACACTTCACATCTTGAACAATTTGATAACTACTACAAGTGCCAGATTGTTCATAGACTTGGTGTAACTAAGACGTTCACAATTAAGTTCACTGTTTTGAATATTCAAGTCACTGATTCCCCTGTGAAACCCTTAAGGTCTTGTGTTTATAAAAAGCATTAATCAGCTCAAAGCAGGAAACCAATTTTAAAAGCTCATTAGCAAAAAGACCAAGATCATATGGAGAAAGGGACAAACTACTCTCTCCCCCATAGACAGGGCTTGAAGAACTGTGGCAGAGTAGAAGCAATAAGGGATAGTTAATGCTTAAAGACTTATCTTGCAGACTGACTGTAGGACACAGGTACCCTTAGTTCATTCATGGTAACTCAGAAAACTAATCCAACTGAGGATTTATAACTTCTAATAACTGAAGCACAGCAGCAACTTGAAAGTGTATCCTACAAATATCTTCCAGGACAGACAAAATATAGGGAAATCTGGTTTTGCAGGTTAAACAAAAAAACCTCAGACCCTCCGCCAGCTCAGTTAATCACCTAGCAGGACAACTACTCCTGAGAAGACAGGCCAAAAGCCACAACAAATTCACAAAGCAGATAAAGACATACAGCAGTAAAGCAATTGAGGAATTGGACACCAGGCTGTCACCAATAATCAATGCTCATAAGGAGCACGTGAGGTTGAAGAAATGTTATAACCTAATTGTATAGGTCTTCAGTCATTTGTTCTCCTTCAAAGAACTACCTCATTTTACTGTATTGCTGTGCAAAAATCTACTAATACTTGTTTCTGATTCTGTCTTGTGATGTATGAGATTTCATTTCTGAATGAGGGGATGTTTACAGTTGCACAGAGCTGTCTCCCCGATGTCAAACTACAACTACGCAGCATTCCTGAAGCATCAGTATTGTACACCAAAGACTTCACATCATCTTGACTTACGCTCACTTCTAACTGAACTGAAATGGGCCCCTGAATCCCAGCCACAGAGCTTCAGAAGTACTACCTAGTACCGCATCAAGTAATAGTGAATTAATAGGTACAAATCACTCAGCAGCATGAAGACAAGCGCTAACAGCTACTCAGGGAGCATGGTTAGGCACCCAAGAAAAGTATCCCTTTAAAAAGCCACAAAGGCAAGTGGGTTTCCCCAGATTAACATTTGCTTAACCAAGGCAAACCATATGGTGCTGCTTATTGCTGCTTTCTGTGAGTTAAATTTGTGCAGCATAACTCAGAAGTTACAACAGAATCAGGATCAGTAAATTAATGCTTCATACGCTATACTTCTAAAAGAAAAACACAAAGGTAATAGAACCAATTTCTACAACTTGCACTTTTAGAATATGAAGCCTAAGCTACATCAAGGAATATATGCATTTAAAAATACCCAACAAACTAAACCCAAGCATTCTATTGCAGACAAGTGTTCTAAAAGCCCACTTCTATGGAAGTCACTTGTTCACCTTTTATGTGCAGGGCTCCAGAATTATAGCTCTGCTCAATTCCTCTGACTTTAGTGAGAAAAAACCTGAAAGGGTTTCCTCCATTCAACAACTCCCAGGTATCTTGGGCTTCACTGGGTGTTTCGTCATCATCCTGATTCTCTGAGAGTTCATCATCTTTGCAAAGATTCAGAGGATGTTCTTTGGGTGCATCATGCTTTTCTTCTTTCAGCGTTTCTTTGTGGGCTTGCTTTTCCTGATCTTCAGGCTCTTCATCACTACTAGAAAGACACCAGCCTAAACCTTCTTGGCTAGGTCTCTGTTTTTCTGCTGGAGGTATTTCTGTAGACTTTTTATCACTGAGCTTCAGGGGAGAAGCTTTTCTCTTGTGAGCAGCTTTCCTAGCTTCAGAGCATGGATACTGTGGCCCACTTGTTCTGCCACGTGTAGCATCCAATAGTGAAGATGTAGATGGTTTTTCACTATCAGAATTTTCCTCAGTACTTTCATCACTGCTAGATACTGTCCATTTTCCATGTGCACCTTCCTGGAGCATGTTCCTAGGGATTACAAAGCACAACATACAAAAAAATTGTGTATTTTCGCTATGCTCAAGTCAGTTTTCCATCCCAGTTTCTATTTGTTTATTACTAGGGATCTTTTTGTATTTGACAGAACCTCCACACAAGTTCTGACTCGGGAAAATTTCACAGCACACAAGGCTTGTTCGTTTCTGTGCCCAGGAAACAAAGAACCACGTGCAATAGGAGCAACCATCAAGTGAGAAGCAGCTAATGCTGAAATCTGCACACGGAAAACGGGCTAGGCTAGGGACACGTACAGGAAAGCAGTTCAGAAGTCAAACGAGCAACTTGCATCACACAGATATTTCTCATACCGACCCTAGCGCGCTCTGCTGAGCGGACCCAGGAGCACGGAGCCGAGCCAGGGCCGCTCTTTCCGGCTGCCT